TAATTTACATTATTTGTGACTAGTTTAAAAAACGTTTATGAATACATATACGTCCTATGTGATATAGTTGAGATGAATATTTATTTGTTTTATCAATTTAAAGAATTTAAGTTACAAAAAAATTAGGTTACATAAAAATAAAAGTTAATTACTACTAGTACTAATAACTAGTAAAAACATATAATTATGCAATAAATTGCAACATACATCCATAGAATACGTAATAGATCAACATAGCTGCATTATTATGGGCAATGAATGTGTAAATGCACTTGTGAACTAAACTAAACTAAACATAACACAAACATTATTTCTCTAGCACAAGAAATTCAAAGATTATTGATGATATCAAGATTAATGCTTACATTTAACAAATAAAATTTCATATTTTATTTTCGTTCGGTTTGTTCAGTTCGGTTCGGTTTTGAAGGGTAAAAACCAAAACCGAACCAAACTATTACGATTCGGTTCGGTTTTTTACATACGGTTTCGGTTTTTTAGCGGTTCGGTTTATTTGGTCGCGATTCGGTTTAATTTGATTCGGTTTTCGGTTTTCGATTTTTCGGACCCAGCCCTAAACTAAACCAAACAACCAGCTTTTTATCAAACAACAACCGTCTTTTATTTTTAAGATCTTTTCAGTCACTAAAAGCTAACGGTTACAAAAAGTCTATAAAAGTATCTTTTCAGCTAGTTGTGCCAAACATACCACCCCTAGTATTACTTATACAATCATGCATAATGTTTATTACTTGATTTGAATGGTACTGTCCAAATTTTGAAGTAATTACTTATATTACTTGATTTGCAAATGCGTGAGGAATCTTTTAGTAATTGATTACAGCCCAAATATATACTCAGTTTTAGTGCAATATTAGTTATCAATTATGCTCTTCAAAAGGGTAGGAAGTTGCCTCCAAAAAGTGTAGGAACTTTGCTATTTTATATTATATTATATATATATATATATATATATATATATATATATATATATATATATATATATATATATATATTATATATGCAACATCGCACGAAAGATAATACTATCTATAAACTTATACATTTTGATATATTTTTGTAATAATCGGAGTACAAACACAAAAGTTATACAGAGTATCAATTTAAAAAAATATTTTTTAAAATTATTATTTTAATTTTTTATATTCAAATTGGTTTCATGTGAAAGATAATAAAAAGTTGTGAATTTTGATATTTTTTGTATCAAACGGAGTACAAATAAAATAATTATAGCACTTTAGAAAACAGATGTTTTTAAAGTGATTATATATATTTTTAATTTTTATATATTCAATATTGAGGTCATATGAAATATAATAAAAAGTTTTTTTTGAAAGCAAAGATAATAAAAAGCTATGAATTTGATACAATTTTTGCAACAATCAGAGTACAGATAATCAATTGAATTATTACCCTAAATGAGACTAAATTAGTCCTAAAATTCCTAAATAGGATCATATTTAATTTTATTTCCTAAATAGGACTCAATTACTCATTTACCCTTTTTTTCCTTTCTCTACGCCGGGTATGCATTTATCTTATCCCCAGTGCATCTTCTTTTTCTCTCACCTGTGATTCTTCTTCTTCCCCCATACGCACAACAACAACCCTCCCTACACCTCTCCCCCTTCCTTGCATTCAGATCTTCTTCTTACCCCTTCGCACAACAACCGGACCTAGGAAACCCAGCCATAGCCATCGCCGACGCTGATACGAAGTCCGCCGCAGGTCTTCTCTGCCGCCATCACGAAGGCCGCCGCCGCCGCTGACGGAGATAAACTTCTCTTCTCAGTAGATCTTCTTCTCTTCTCTGATTGTTCTGTTCCGTTTCTTCTTTGATTGTTACAAATGCCAAATTAAATCTTAAAATGCCGTATAAATGGCATTTTTAGTCTTAAAAATTTTTGTATTTTCATCTGGAAATGCAATTAAAATTGCATTCTGATAAAAATCTTAGCATTTACGTCGGAAACGGGCAGATCTGTAACCGAGGAGGTCAGATTTGTAGCGACGGATGCCGGATTAGTTGAGAAAGTGGCTGGATCTGGAGGGACAACGGCTGGCGGCCGACGGAGACTCAATCCGGCCAGATCTCAAGCGACACCCGCCAGATCTGCAACAGTGGTGGGCAGATCTGCAACGACAGTGGGCAGATCTATAATGGCGGCCCGTTTTCGAGGTTGTCGGTGATGTCCGGCGACCGGCAGCGAATGGCGGCGACTGGAGTTGTGGTCCAGTGTTGTGTTCTGCGGGAGTTTCAGGGGTGTTTTTGTCGGATTACAAATAATAACTCTTATTTGGGGAATTTTCAAACTTTGGTCCTAGTTTGGCAATTAAAGATTGATTTACTCCTATTTAGGTAAATACCTCTAATCAATTTTCACCATTTTAAAAAGGGAAAAGTACAGAAAACGTACCTGTGGTTTGGGGCATTTTCAGACAGGGGCGTGTGTTTCATTTTCTAACAAAGTGAGACATGTGTTTCAATTCTGTTATCATAGCAGGGGCATGGCGTCTAACGCCGTTAGAAAAATTAACTCCGATTTTAAAAAGTCTCCGAAAAATTAAAAGAAAAATACTGGGAGGTGCGCCTCGTCAAGGAGATCAACAAACTATCTTTCTCTTTGGATTTTTCGGCTATATTTGGATTATTTTTTAAAAACAAATTCGCTAATATCAATTTTCTGGTGGACTTTCTGGAGATATGGTGGCTGGAAACAAAAAAATAAATATAGTTTGTTGATCTCCTTGACGAGGCGCACCTCCCAGTATTTTTCTTTTAATTTTTCGGAGGCTTTTTAAAATCGGGGTTAAGTTTTCTAACGGCGTTAGATGCCATGCCCCTGCTATGATAATGGAATTGAAACACATGTCCCACTTTGTTAGAAAACGAAACACATGCCCCTATCTAAAAATGGCCCAAACCACAGGTACGTTTTATATACTTTTCCCTTTTAAAAAAGCATGTGCTTTTATTTTAGTGGGACCCATGACCGTTTTTCTTCCCTGGGTAACCTTTTTAAAAAGCATGTGTTTTTGTCGGATTACAAATAATAACTCTTATTAATGATTAATAATTAGTTAAAGCATTATCAAATTTACTTTTCTAGTTAATCCATTAGTATGCCCTCATTTTTGGCAGGATTTTTCCCTTCAATTATTGTGAAAACACTATTACTTTATACTTCCTCCATATCGCAAAGATGTTCATGGTTTGATAAATTTACCAGGGAGTAAATTTTACTGTTTTGACACTGTTTGACGCTGTTTTGATGTAGATAACTAGTCATTTAACGAAATGGGAACTTCTTTTTGGGACTGCTAAAAAAGGAAAGTGAGAACTTCTTAGTGGGACGGAGGGAGTATTTTACTACGTATAAAGATAAAGATTGCAGAAGTAATCCACCACCGTAAGAACATCTCCAATGCTACAATGTGCACGGTGCACATGTGACATGAGAGAGATAGACGCAAAATATTGATTTTATGACATTTCTCTCTCCTTCTTTCCATGGTCTTATGTGTTTTTTGGTAAGTTTTTGTCTGCAATATCAACTACAATGTCTACACCTAGACACTGTGCTTGATATAGTGAAGAAAAAACTTATCAAAATAATGTAAGATCCGTCAAATAAGGAGAAATATTCTATTTATTGTTTTTTAATTGGTTATTTCTCATGCCACGTATGCACCGTTAACGTTTTCACATTAGAGATGCTCTATTAGTCTTACGAAGTCTTTGATTTCACATATGGTAAATAAAATTCAACCATTCTTGGTGTACACGTTTTTGTACCCATCAGTACACGCATGTGTCTGTGAGAGTTTTTTTTTGTCTGTGAAGCGCGGTCCACAGACATAAGTTCGCTTGTTTTGTCTGTGGAAAATTTCACAGACAAAACAAACCAGCTTTTGTCTGTGGACCGCACTTCACAGACAAAAAAAAACTCTTACAGACACGTGCGTGTACTGATGGGTACAAAAACGTGTACAAAAGGAATTTTTGAATAAAATTACAGTCTTTGATACAAAATTTAACTTATGTTGAACGAATGAAAGAATGCATTAAAGAGAGAATTTCATTCACATTGTCCGACGTGCAATGCTCTTTTGAAAGAAGTGCAATGCTCTAAGATAAGTTGAAATTCTTAAATACTTGTAAAAAACAAAAAAGGGATAAGGGTCAGATAGGGCCTCGAACTCGAAACAAAATGTCAAATAAGGTCATATTTAGGATGCTCTGTCCGGCCGACGCCATTTGGGGCGGTTCCAGATGCCATTTTTTGATGAATTTTTTTGAGCATCTTCCTCATTAAGTCTAGTTTACCCATACCAAATTTCAGCTAAAAATTCAACCGGAAAGGTAGTCAAATGATTTTTTGAAGATAATTGTGAAGTTAAACAACCCCGTACATTTCGGAAAATCATTTGACTACCTTCCCGGTTGCATTTTTAGGTGAAATTTGGTATGAGTAAACTAGACTTAATGAGGAAGATGCTCAAAAAATTTCATCAAAAAATTCCATCGGGAACCACCCCAAATGCCGTCGGCCGGACAGAGCATCCTAAATATGACCTTATTTGACATTTTTTTTTCGAGTTCGAGGCCCTATCTGACCCTTATCCCAACAAAAAATGATTTTAATGAGATGTACTAGCATTACATGGAGTAATTTTCTAATACCCAGTATAATTTAGAGGCCGTTTGACAACGATGTTTTTCGGATTATCAAGCATATCAGTCAATTTTTTCACCAAATGCGTAACTTTTGATTTCACGCGTTGAATTGTGTAATAAGCCGAAAAAGCAAAATTGAAATTACTTTTGTAACTGTATTGACAGAAATTATGATCATTTTAGTTATTTTTAAAAATATTTTAAAAATAAAATATATTTTAAAAATAATTTTTTTTTTAAATTCTGCAGAATCAGTTCTCCTTAAATTTCCCGTCGACATCGGTAACAAACAGAGGAAATTATAATTTCGGTCTGGAGGGGCAAAAGAACAAAAGAATACACCCATCGTATGATCAGGCTTGTTGTGTTGCCGAGGAATCCGGTAGAAGCTGAAACCAAGACAGTCACGGAGTCGCCTGATTCATTTTTCCTGAAACCCCTCTCCGGGTATTTCGTAGCATATACGAGTACTATCTATATACATATAGATTGCCTCAATGAAGTGATCGGCGATTTGCTTGGGACGATGATGTGAAATGTCAGGGGGCGAGTACAGCGACCACAACGTTCTATTACAGCGCCCCTTTTCATCGGCGACCGAGAAAGAAAACGATTTAGAGGCTCCGTCATCGCCCAGGGCTCCGAACAAAGGCATTGCGGATCTGTTGAAGCGTTTGGATCGAAGCCTTTCCGGTCGCAAATCTCCTACTGCAAAACGGCCCAATAGGGATCGTTCCTCTCCCTCTTATTCACCATTGGGTCGCGGTTTTGACTCCACAGGCTCTCGCAACAATGATATCGAAGAGGATGAAGTCCTCGGAGATAGTGCGCCCCCGGAATGGGCTCTCCTGCTAGTTGGATGTCTTCTTGGTCTCGCTACTGGGCTTTGTGTAGCCGTGTTTAACCGCGGGGTTAGTTCAAATGCTCAATTTCTAAATCTAGTAATTGTATGGTTTAGCTGTTAGAAATAGTTAAGAAAATATGTATCTGTATTAGTCTTCAATTTGGGATTGATTGATAGTCCTGCTGCTTTTAGTTGATGTCCTGGAACTGCCTAATGAAATGCTTCTTACAGTTTGCCTTAATGATATCAACTGACATTTAGTTATTGCTTGGTTATGCCAAGGGAAATAGTATCCAAATATGAGCTATCTATTAAGTCTTAAAATCTGGATTGCTTCTGTAATTGGTACTGGTAGTTTTCTTTAGTGTCTTTGAAATGATAAACTTCTTTAGTACTGATATTCTATCTTTCAGATAGGACTTACGGTGTATTTGGGACTCGTAAAATGATAAGGCAAATGTGTTATTGCTATTGCTTTATTGTACCTTGGAAAATACAAAAAAGATTTATTTTTGATTTATTTGTACATACATTTAGATCGTTTAGTCTATATGATAGAAATATCGAAGTAAAATGAGTGATAAGCTGTGAACAAATATCTAAAATCAATTTGTCGCCTATATGATAGAAAATTAGAAATATTGAAATAAAATGAGTGGAAGCATTTTTTTCATTTTTGTCTCACATGTTCTTTACTTTCAAAATTTCTCTCATTTTTATTTCCAAGTAATTTCTGAGTTTCAAATAAAGCCTTAAGAATCCTAGAATTTATTTCGTAGTTGCGATATGCGCTCATCCATACACAACATTCGATGATAGAGGAAGACTGTTTTAGGTGCATGTAATACATGAATGGGCATGGGCTGGTACCCCAAATGAAGGTGCAGCGTGGTTGCGTTTGCAAAGACTAGCTGACACATGGCACCGTATACTTCTGATACCCGTCTTAGGAGGAGTCATCGTTGGGATGCTGCATGGTCTGCTGGGAATTTTGGATCAGATAAAGCAGTCATCCACTCCTTCTTCTCAGGGGCAAGGCTTTGATTTGTTTGCTGGAATCTTCCCGACGGTGAAGGCTATACAGGCTGCTATAACTCTGGGTACTGGTTGCTCTTTAGGTCCAGAAGGCCCCAGTGTGGATATTGGGAAATCGTGTGCTCATGCATGCTCTGTGATGATGGAGAACAACCGTGAAAGGAGGATCGCTCTTGTCGCAGCTGGTGCTGCTGCGGGTATTGCTTCAGGTGTGGCATTTTTGTGAATCACAATCATCATTCTTATTTTGTGCCAACTTGCTAAATCTTAGTTAACTTTTGAAAACTTAGGGTCTCCTTGCATAATCTTTTGTGGTTTGAGCTCTCAATACTCCATTTGGTAAGGCCTAAACTTGTTGAATCTGCTAAAGGTTATTGCTGAACAATTGAATCTATTGATTTATAAAATCATTTGAAATATATCTTGAATTAAATAAAGAAAAGAATGCTAAAAAGGATGATAAAATAACTTTAAATAATGGAGTACCAACTATCACTCGTAAACAATAACAATTCATTCAATCATACTTTGGAAATGATTTTTAATAATATCAACTATTTGAATACAACAAGAACAACAACAACATTACTCCACCGTAGGTGGGGTAAGGGGGTTGGATGTACGTAGCCTTTCCCCTGTACTAAAGCACAGAGAGTCTGTTTCCGGATGACCCATGTTGAAAATCGCGTCGAGAATTGCATGGATTGATTGCTGCTATATAAAAAGAAGTGCATAAAGTTTATTGAAACATTTTGCTTTATTTCATAGTTGGTAATATCAACTATTTGAATATATAACAAAAATGATACATAACCATTTTCCACTATATATTTAGTCATTTTGCTCATAAAAACTTATAAAAAATAAGTGACCCCATTTCGAATAACCTTGATTTGATGGTTTGATATTGTTTTTTGGTGTCTTAAATGGATGAGTTTTTAGTCTCGGAGTGGCTCTATTATTTTTATTATATATTCAAATAGTTGGTATTATTAAAAATTATTGTCAAAGTGTGTATTATTATTGGTATACAGGTGTTAGTTGGTACTATACCATTCAAAATTAGTTTCCCAAAAAGGATGGTTAAAATGCCATTTTCAGCTAACAAAAAGTTTAATCTGCGGAAGGTTATGGACTTATGGCTGAGTTAGCTGAATCTATTGAATTATAAAAACATTTCAAATATACCTTGAATAAAATAAAGAAGATAATGCTAAAAATGGATGGTTAAAATGTCATTTTCAGTAAGTTCAGCCAACAAAAAGTAGTTTGGGACTGTCATCTATGAGTGTGTTTCTACATATTGGGTCATTTCGGTGACATCTACTTAAGGTGCGAAATGTATATTAATGATGGCTATTCCGGTCCAGGTTTCAATGCAGCGGTTGCTGGTTGTTTCTTTGCAATTGAAACTGTTTTAAGGCCACTGCGAGCAGAAAACTCTCCTCCATTTACCACTGCTATGATTATATTGGCGTCCGTGATTTCATCCACGGTATCAAATGCTGTTTTGGGAGAAAAACAGGCATTCACTGTACCCACATATGATCTGAAATCTGCTGCTGGTATTTGATGTTCTTTTAGTCATACTTTTCATCTACGCAGCAAACTGTGTTGGGGTGCCTTTATCATTATCACTTGGGGTATCTGGGCCTGTTTGGATTGCCAAAAATGTTGGGAAAAAAGTTCAAAGTAAAACATAGAAGAAAATTAACACGAATGGAAATGTGGGGTAAATACAAGATAGCGGACAAGCCTACAACTCTATTAATTTAGTTTATTTGTTGACACTCATTTTATTATTTATATATAATATTCTATATTGTGTAGTGTGTAAAAAATACGGAGTATAAAATATGGAATACAAAACAAAAAACATTCATTCTGTTTTCTTTTGCATGCTCCATGGTGAAACCAAACCTAAGAAAGTAACTTTGTTTAGCATTTTCCCCCTTCCCCTAGCATTTTCCATTATCCAAGTCATACCCTTAGTGACTGCTGAAAGTACATTGAATTTATTAAAATCAGTTTAACTCACTAAAATTTATTATTTATCACAATCCCATCAAGGACCAATGTTAATGACTATGCTTGTATTTTGGGGTAGTTCAAGTGTCCATCTGCTTATTTTTTTTAGTGTGGTTCCAATGTTCCATGCAGAATTGCCTTTGTATCTAATACTGGGAATGCTATGTGGAGTAGTAAGTGTGGCATTCAGTTATCTGGTCAAGTGGTTCAGTAATGCTTTTCAGTTCATCAGGGAAAAATTCGGAGTACCAGATGTTGTATGTCCTGCTCTGGGAGGTCTAGGAGCTGGAATTATAGCTCTTAAGTACCCCGGAGTACTTTATTGGGGCTTCACTAACGTTGATGAGATTCTTCATACTGGGAAGACAGCCTCGGCACCTGGGATCTGGTTGCTGTTTCAATTGTCAGCTGCAAAAGTTGTTGCCACAGCTTTGTGCAAAGGTTCTGGTCTTGTTGGGGGTCTTTACGCACCTAGTTTAATGATAGGTGCCGCTGTTGGTGCAGTGTTTGGTGGCTTTTCTGGGGAGCTGATTAATTCTGCTATCCCCGGGAATTCTGCTATTGCCCAGCCTCAAGCATATGCACTGGTAATCCAAACTGCTCTTTTATACTATTATTATTATTATTATTATTATTTTTGAATCATGATTGGTACTTGGTAGTCTCTCCATACGTGTTCTCTTGTTGACCAAATCACATAGTCTAAGTGATAGATTAATAAAGAAAAAACTGTCAAATAGGCCCTCACACTATACACAAAAGGTCAATTAAACCCTTGTACTCGATAATCACCCAATTAGTCACCCCAACTTTTAAAAACGACCAAATTTGACTTTTACCAAGTAAATAACCAGTTACCAGGTTATTATGCACACATGGTGCCCACATGTTTACTTTTTCTTTCTTTCTTTCTTTCTTTCTTTCTTTCTTTCTTTCTTTTTTCCTTCTCCCTCCCCCATTCTTCGTCTAGATCTACACCAGTTCTACTTGACCCTTCTTCCTCCGACTACTTCAGGTATGCTCCTCCCTGTTTCTTAAATTTTCTCATTTTTTGTTCTTCTCTTTTATTATATATATCTCCTTCTCGTTTTATACCCACACACCCACACCCACACATTTATATAGTGGATGGAGATGGATATAGATCCCACCAGATACTCACCAGCATGTGTTGTAACCTCGCCGGTTGTAAGCTGCCAACACATGCAACTTTTAGCTCCCTCGCCGATTGGAGGCAGGCAAGAGACGCAGCTCCTGGACGCTGGTAACAGACGCCGGCAACAATGGCATTAAGGTTCACGGTGCTAGGTCCCTCTTTATCCGTCATTGACAATCGTGACTCCGGCGAGTTTTTTTTTATTTTTTTTTATTTTGAGATCTTTGATATCGTTATTTGGTGTCACTGCCCAGAGATGACGTTCTCGATGATGCACTTCCCTCATCGTTGGCGTCCAACAACGTTGGTTAATACAGCTTGAAGCGAGAAGCTTTGTCGGGGATCGCTGTGTTTTACGCCTCATTCCTATTTTCCGGATGACAGGAGCGCCGTCGAGCGTAAAAGAAAAGGACTCATACGACATAAATGAAAAGAACAGTTGAGTGAAGAAGATACAGAGTTTGACTAGGGAGGAAAAAGAAAGAAAAGTAGAATAAGAAAATTATGATGTGGATGTCCCGACTCAGCACATGTCTAGGGTGCCACATGAGCGATTTTAATTGGGAAACCAGCCGTTCATCTGCTAAATTGTCATTTTGAGCGGTTTTTGCAAGTTCACGTAGTTGATTGAGTGAAAAATTTGTGGAAGGGCTTGATTGACTTTTTTTGCTATTGTATGAGGGCTTATATGACAATTTTCCCATTAATAGACAAATTACCTTTACCCAAAATACCTCATTTAATACTGAGATTGATGTAAGAACGGTAAAATTTGAAAATATCTTTTATGTGCATAGATTTCATAAAAGGACATGCTACAACAGCAACAACATCCAAGCCGTACCAAAATAGTTTGGGGTCAACTAAGATGAATGACCACATGAAATCGGAGCTAAAAAGATAAGAAAGATAAAAAGATATGAAAGAAGATAGGATAAAGATAAGATCAAGATCTTTACAGCAACAACATCCAAGCCTTAGTACCAAAATAGTTTGGGATCAACTAACATGAATGACCACATGAAATCGGAGCTAAAAAATAAGAAAGATAAAAAGATAAGAAAAAAGATAGGATAAAGATAAGATCAAGATAAAAATGATAATATAAAAAGGATAACAAATAAGATAGAAAGGATAAAATATTAAAAAAACATATGATCATGTGGTAGGCAGAGAGTGCTATGTTAGGCGCGTGACAGCCAACAATGATCTCTTAGTCACATCACATGACATGAATCAAAATGAATAAAAGGACATGCGATATGAATAAAATAAATAAATAGGAACAGAGGATGTAGTAGTATTTTCTATCAGCAGATCATGTGGAACTGATATTCCCTTCATAATATTGCAGGTTGGAATGGCTGCTACACTAGCGTCAGTTTGTTCAGTCCCTTTAACTTCCGTTCTACTTTTGTTTGAGTTGACAAAAGATTACAGAATCTTGCTTCCTCTCATGGTTAGTTTTAGTTCTCTAAGGGTGTGTTTGGATGGAGCGGAAGACTCTAAGGGCTTAGTGTGTGTGTATATCTTGATAAACAAAACGATTTTAAAAACTTTCCAAAACCTTCCAAAATCTCAAATATAGACTTAGCCCTAACATTCCATAAAAAGTGGCCTGAAGATTTAAATAGTCTAACTAACTAATTACAAGTTTAAACCGTCTTATTTATTTTTTATTTTTTGAATTTTTTTCCTTTTGACAGGGGGCTGTTGGATTGGCAATATGGGTGCCTTCAGTGGCGAACCAGCCAAAGGTCATGGAGGTCTCAGGCACAAATAATTTGTCACGAGATTATTCTAGTCTTTCACCTGATGAAGACAAAAACACAGGGAGCATCTGGAGGGGCAATACTGGGGATAGAAATGACATGGAACTTTCCATTATTGGTAATTTGAACAATCTTGAAACAATTGATGAGGATCTAATTCTGGATAATCTAAAGGTGCGGCTTTTCTGGTCTTGTGCTTTTTGAAGAGCGAATAAGGGTTGTATTGCTGCCTTGATTATTGAATTCTTTGGTGTATGGTTATCAGGTTTCTCAGGCTATGTCTCATGATTATTTGAAGCTGTCATTGAGCCAAACAGTGAAGGAAGCTTTGGATTTTATGAGTGAAAATCAACAACGTTGTGGCATTGTAGTTGATGATGAAGATTGTCTGGAAGGAGTTTTAACTTATGGTGACATTAAACGGAGTTTAGGAGAGAACTCTGGAGATTTGCTGCATACAGATGTATGTATTTTTTCTTTAGTAGTCATTAAGGGCCCATTTGGAACACAGAAGATACTTGGGAAAGGAAAGCAAATGCTATGGAAAGTCGTTTTCTTATGTTTATCCTTGCCTTGGATGTGATTTTTTCAATATTATTCATATACTTGGACTTGATCTGTATATATATTTTTATAGGTGAAGTTCATATCAAAAGAGTGCTTCCCATGCAAAATGTGCATGGATGTCCTTTTACCGTCTGTAATGCACCTTGACATTCAAAGTCATGTACCTTTTGCGGTGACGGAATTGCACACATACATTTTAACGGTGCCCATATTGCACCTCCACATTCAAAGTAATGCATATTTTGCGGGTGGCGGAAAAATTTTGGTTCACGTAACAAAATGTCACTGCGAATTTTAGCATTTAGATTTTAAAACCGGTGCTCCTGATCCGTTTGCATTTTGCACAGGAGATGACTTTTTATTTGAATCAATACACACACACACTCATAAGTGATTGCGAACAAATATTTGAAAATCAATTTATTAAGTTTGAGTCTGCCCTTCGTTTCACCTCAATCTTTTTGTGTGCATCTTTTCATAGCAGCTTCCTTATTCTAGTATTTTCCGGGTTCCAAACATCCTATTTACTTCGAAAGGGTAGAGGTAAGGTCTGCTTACATACTGGTTATGTTTGGTTTGGTTTGGTTTCAAACAGGACTTAACGGTTTGATTTTTTTTCCTTGTTGCTAATAAAGTTTTATTTATCAGGTAAATACATCCCTTGTTTCATCCATTTGCACAAGAGGGATAAGCTACCGAGAAAAAGAATGTGGTCTTCTAACATGTTATCCAGATACAGACCTGGCAATTGCAAAGCAACTAATGGTGGCTAAAGGAATTAAACAGTTGCCAGTTATTAAACGTAGAAGAGACATTCAGAAAGAGAGAAAACGCATGGTAGTTGCTATCCTGCAATATGATTCAATCGAGGAGTCTATCAGGTGTTCGATTTATTAAATTTTAGCTTACTGCTTTTCTGTTCCGTGATCTGGCTGCCTCTTCATTCTCAACTTTTTAAACTTTTGCAGGAAAGAGGTCAACCGTTTCAAAATGATCTGTCAGCAGATAAAAGGAGAAAGTTTTGATCAGACGGATGCAAATGGCCACTAACAACATAGGACAATTCAAACGCAGAAAACAAACTTCAAGACTTCATTTTTTTCCTGGCTTTGACAATCTTTTCATATAGATAATTGGTATACTCCCTCACCGTGCTCATTTCCCAGGGCCTGGCTCCTTTTACTATTACCAAACTGGGGAAGGAATTATATTGTGCATTTATGTTTTGTTCATACCCCTATTGTATTTGTATTGCCTGTATATGGAATTTATTTTAGCAATGGTAAATTAAACATAGTAAAGTGAGATTATTGTGCGTCTACCTCTGTTTGGTGTTTCCAGTTTTACACTTCCACATTCTCTTTCATTTTAAGGAATGCCATTGGTGGTGGGAGTGGTCGTGTGGGAGTGTTCTGCTGTGGCAATGATCTTGCCAGCAAAGGGAAAATGGAAACTAATAATCCAACCTTTTAACAGTCTTCTTACAATAGTCCCACCTTTTCGTTATTCATGAATAATCCAACCTTTGTACCTCATCTTCATTCACTGGTCCCTGACCGGTTGATGACCTGCTTTTTCAAGTTATTTTCTTATCTTTGCAAATCATTATACCATAAATCTCACCTTTCACAAAGATAATACTTTGCAAAGATAAAAAAATAACTTGAAATAGCAGGTCATTAACCGGTCAGAGACCAGTGAATGAAGATGAGGTGCAAAGGTTGGATTATTCTTGAATAACGAAAAGGTGGGACTATTATAAGAAGACTTCTAAAAGGTTGGATTATTAGTTTCCATCTTCCCGCCAGCAAATAGTGTTGTTGGTGATTGGGTATGGTGGCAAGGATTACTTGATACTGATGGACCAGTAGTTGGCGTTGATGAGCGGGGAGGCTGGGATTGTGAATGAATGATCATTGATTGCAGGCTTAAGTAGTCTTGGACTCGGTTCGGGCCACCCAACCCGGGAACCTGCCCGGCCTGCTAATGTGCGGGACCGGCCCGGTGCTTCGGGCCCGATACCGGTCTTTGACCCGGACCGTAGGTAGGAGTGGGCTCAGGCTGAAGAAAAGGTGATTCGGTCGGGCCCGGTTCAGGCCAAAACGTTTTTTTTTTTTGTTTTTTCAATTATTTTTGGTTTCCCCCGGGTTGGGCCGGGGGTTTGGGGGGGGGGGGGGGGTAGGTAGGAAAGCAAAAAAATTATAAATCAGCCCGAGGCCCGACCCGAACCGGACCTGGTGGAAACCCGGACCGGTCCTGGGCCTTCCCCCAACCATAAAAAGCCTGGCTGGGCCTACGCCCGACCCGAACCCGACCCGGCCCGAGGCCATGCCTAGGATTAAGTATTTAAGGGTGCAAGGTAGTGTGGCATGGGTTGCCGCTTGCCAACCGTGGTCTGTCGTTGTGGTTGACGTTGTCACTTGCTAGTTGGGCTTGACAAAGTAGGGTGAATGTGGCTTTGCAAAGGTGATAATTGGGGTACAGGATTGAACTGGCCGGTTACGGTCTTCCTTAGGACCAAAACTGTTAATAGTTAATAGTAGTCCGGTTGTGGGCTGAGTAGAATGATTATTGGGAAGCCTGTCCCAGTCCCAGTTCAGTTTCCACCTGAAAGCTTTGCATTTTTAAATAGACTGAGAGTCGGACCAACTGGTTAAATCCTACGTGTAGGAAATGCACCAAAAAACAATAGGTTATCCGTTCAAAACTTGGTTTGACTGTTTCAGGGGGCTTGGTCAGTAATTGGGTCCATGTTCATCACTTATGGAAGTGGTTTCCATGGTTGGTAGTTGGTACTTGCTACTTGGTAGTGGTAATTGTGATTGGCTGTAACTTCTAGAAAGAAAAGTTTTTTTTTATTAATCCAAGACTTGAAAGATAGATGAATTATCAATCTGGGTCCTCAAAGATCTTCCAAAAAAAAAAATATGGGTCCTAAGAGATGAAATGTGTTGGCATAGGGTTCGAGTGATTGGAAACTATCAATCTAGGATCTAAAATTCTATGTTTTGATTAATTTTTTTATTTATTAATTCTATTGCTGATTTTTCTTGAATTTTTCATCACAAAAGTTTATTAGTTTGATAAAATTATATAATAATATTTTAAATTTCCAAAATAATAAAATAATAAAATTCATGACATGTAGTATTTCATCTTTCAGGTCCAAATTGATATACGTAGTATTATTTATTTTTCATGTCCTGGATTGATGAAATTCTAAAAAAATACTCCGTAATTGTTTACTTTGCTGAGGAAAACTGGTGACATATTATGTTTCTAGCCAATGGGCTTATGGATGTAGGCCTGTCCGCGGTTTGCGGTTGAACCGGAATCGGAACCGCATAGTACCACCGGTTTGTAACCAGGGGTTTACCAGTCCGGTTCAACTATCCAAAGATGTGGAACCAGAACCGCCAGTTCTGGTTCCGAACCAGGTGGTTCCTGTTCCGAACTGTTTTTTATTAAAATAAATAAATAAATAATCACAAAGATAATAAAAATAGTAGTACTTGTATATTGTACTAACAATAAGTATAACAAATTATGAGTATTAGTTAGTACATAGGGAGTAGTAATTTTTAGTTATTACTAGTTATAATACTTTAATTACAAATTATAGTTATAGGAATATGTCATTTACAAATTACTAAAGTACTTTAAAATTACTCACTTCTAAATTTATACAAGCTAATTTCTAACTATTTAGTTATTTATTAAAAAACTATTTTGTTATTAATTATCTAATTATTATACTTAGTTATAGAAATAATAATTATTAATTGTACTAATATTTTTGTGGGAACTCTTTCATTCAAATAATCTTATTACTTACCTGCTCCGTTTTAAAAAAATTAAATAATTCTAAGTAAAAAAAATAAAAAAAAATGGAACCAGAAAATCAAAATGGATTGGAACCAGAACCAGCGGTTTTGGAACCGGTACTGTCCGGTTCCGATTCCCCAAAATATGGAACCACGAACTGGCGGTTCGGTTCTTGTTCCGGCTCAAACCGCGGACAGGTCTATATGTATTACATATTACATTGAGAGTTTCAGAATTTGGACCATTTAGACTAGAAGAGTCGATGTCGAGTGCTTCTCCTGAAAGCTCTCTCACAAAAGGCAACAATTGAACCAAATTTTCAAAATTTTCTATTATGACTATCATCCACAGAAACATGTTGAGCATCAGAAGAATGAATCATGGAATGTGACACGACACAATCCATCTAAACGTTACTAGGACACCCAGGGTTGTATAATTTACATTTGAGGTCCCAGAGGCAACCTACTGGTGACATGTTGATAGGGAGAAGAGTTGTTAGAAGAAAGATTCAAAGCAGCATCTGAACCAGGCTCCATTATGGGCTCTGGCTTGACGACCATTCCATTCATCAAGGGGCGCTGTCCAAGATATGCTGGAAACATACCAGCAAAGCCTTGAGGGTTCATCATCCCAAAACCAAAACCAAGATGTGGCTGGCTATGGAAACCTAATGAGCCGATGTGAGGCATACCAAACCGCTGCTGTTGTTGTTGAGAATGCTCAGGCCTATGCACATTAATAACATTCTGTGATGGTGGTAGACTGGTGGAAGTGTTGCCGTTATGATAATGGCTGCTGTTTCGTGCTGCAGGAACATCGTGGTTGTGCTTGCCTTCATAGGTTGTAATCACTGACTTGAGATCATGTGAAGCTCTCTCCACGTGCTTCCTAACCGTGCATCCCGCACTTGTGCACTTGTAGTAACTCCTGACATAGCAGAACCAAGGAAGCACACAATAAATATTACTTCCTCCATCCCAAAATGATTTGCAAAGTCAACTTTTCTTAGTCAACACAGTTTCATTTTATTTATCATATCAATCATTTATTATATTCTAATTTGGATTTTGCGACATAACTTTATAGAGCTTTCAATATAGCTTCCGAATATGTAAATTTTAACTAACAAAACTGATTTCACTATCTGCAGGGATAATTTAACTTTATTGTTTCACCTTTAAAAACTGCAAATTGCAATTCAATTCGGGATGGAGAGAGTATGTTAAATTGTAGAAGTATCCCCACTCATGATTTTTACATATATTTATTTTATGGGAAATAACAATTCACCTCGGGTTTGGATTTCCTTTGACGACTTTTTGCCCATATTTGCGCCAGCGGTACCCGTCATCGAGAATGTCAACCTCACTGGTAGTCTGTACCACCACCCTCGGCTCTCTAATGGCTCTTGTCGCCCCTCCGGTCATGTCAGCTGCATAAGTTTCGATCTTCCTGGATGGAAAAAACCATTTCGACGATGGAAAAAACGGTATTGTCAGGTTCTAAACAAGATAAAGTCATGTTTGGTCAAAGTTTTTTTAAAATTTGACAAGGTACAAACATTAGAAGTCATGTAATTATATTTATATATTTTTGAAGTACTCTTATTTGTTGGTTTAAGAAAATGCAACATTTTGACCTTGTTTGTAACCTTTTATAAGCAAATTATTGGCTTCGTCTGAATTTTATGGGACATAAAAAAACTTGTTTAAACAGGGAGGACTCTTCTGGATATAGCATGAGATACACCTTCTCTTTGAGTCCAGTTCATCTCCTTCGCCCTCGTAACCCAATGACATGCTGCCATGTGTACCACAATCATCTTCATCTTCATCATTTGAAAAAAGAGACGATCCATCCACTGGATCCCTGGATTCATAGTGAGTGCCATTCTGGGTTTGAGACCCATCACAGTAATCAGAGCCCAAAAGCCCAGAAGAAGCTGTCTCAAGGTTGTCTAGTTCTTCTGCATTTTCAGATCCAACCACTGACCTATGATTGGAGGGAGGTTTGGGGTGAATGTGGGCGCCCTTATATATAATCTCTGTAATATGACCCTCATGGGACCGCTCCACTTTCTTCTTGACCGGGCAGTTTGAATGGGTACACTTGTAGTAGCTTCGTGGATACTCGCTCCCTCTCACCTGTTTCTGCCCATACTTTCTCCAGTTATATCCGTCATCGGTGGGAGCATTAACAGAATTGGGATCTCGGATCCCTCTTTGATCTGTAACATCATCCTGTTCCTCAGCATCAGGCTCTGCGCTGGCCGGAAAGGATTGGCAGGAAATACTTGGTGGAGGTACCTGTTAAACCAACCCAAAGGGAAACCAGCTAATAAATTTATGCCTCATTACTTTGAGAATGACAAACGAAAAGGGAAACTAATAGAAGAGGAAATATTACTTTGCTAAAAGTTGGAGAGTCAAAGGGAGGAATGTGCTCTGTAAATAATGGCTCGAAGGCAAAGGATGAAGTGTCATTCTTGTTAAA